GACACGTGAAAGAAGCCTGCTCTGTTTCTGGCTCAGATCGATGGACCACATGCTGCTGCTGAGGCTCAGAACGCGCAAGAGGCCCTGTCTGGGGTAAGGAGCACGTTGTGTGCTCATCCAACTGCTCACCCCAGAGGCACCTCAGACACAGTCTGTACAGATGGATCCTGGCATCTTCCCTCTAAAACTGCTTCTCCTCCTGGGTGCCATTTCTCACTGTGAGACACTACCCACTACCCAGGCTACAGGCCCAGAGGTCTGGGGGAAGCCATGGCCACAGTGCAGGTGGGCAGACAGGAGTCATCGTTCAGGGGGACATGTAGAATCTGTCTCAGACTGGAAGGTGAGCAGGAGGGGATGAGGTAGACAGAGGAGCAGAGCCTTGGTCGCCTTTTCCACTGCTCTCAGGAGTCTTGAAAACCAGTCTGGTCAGCTCCCAAGTTTCAGTGCTTTTACTAGCGCTTAGTAGCCCCCACCCCCCATTTTGGAAGCAGTCGCTGTCCATACCATTTTGCAATTATATCTCTTGCAATGCATTTGATCGATAACTGCCTCCTTCACTAAGCCCCAAGCTTCATGATAGCAGGGAAGGTAGACTTCAAAATTATCAAAGATCCTAACTTTATTAAAAAGAAGCACCCTCGGGGCACCTGGTTGGCTCAGTCAACGTCCAACTCTTGATTTCAGCTCAGGTCATGATCTCACCGTTTGTGAGTTTGAGCCCTGAATCTGTGCTGACAGTGCAGAGCCTGCTTGGGATTCTCTCTCTCTCTCTCTCTCTCTCATTCTCTGTCCCTCCCCTTCTCTCTCTCAAAATAAGTAAAATAAACTTTAAAAAAATCACTCCTAGTTCATAAGAAACACCTTGAATACAGCCGCTCCTGCTTAGGATCTGACCAGAGCAGGGCAGGGGAGAGGAACAGGGCCTATGGTCGAGGTCTCTGGACCCACTGTGGATGGGGGTGCTTGAACCCAGACAGCCTTTGAGCCTAATGTGACTTTAACAGGGTCTCTGAGTGCAGGGCTTCTGAGTGGCTCAATCGGTTAACTTTGACTTTGGCTTAAGTCATGATCTCACAGTTTATGGGTTTGAGCCCCATGTCAGGCTCTGTGCTGACACCTTGGAGCCTGGAGCCTGCTTCAGATTCTGTGTCTCCCTCTCTCTTTCTTCCCCTCCCCCACTCACTCGCATGCAGGCGTGCGTGCACGCGCTCTCGCTCTCTCTCTCTCTCTCAAAAGTGAATAAGCATTTAAAAAATATTTTTTAAAAAACCCAGCATTTCTGAGCCAAAGGATGATTCCAACACAAGAACTTAGCAATGACTGCATTTCCCTGGCTCAGCAACACCCCTCCCATCTATGCATGAAACCTAATCTTACCCAAATCATTCCCTCCAGTTTAGAGAGGTTATGGGACACCCAAGCATTCACTACATAACTTAGGGTTCATGACAGGACATGATCCAACCATTAAAAACAACATTGGCACCGAGTATAAGGACACAAGAAAAGTAACATTAATGGTAGATGGAAAAAGAGCAAGATGCAGTCTTTCATAGACAGTAACATTCAAATAGGTTAAAAAGGCATAGAGGAAAGGATGAAAGGCAGTATTCTGTTACACTAATGTTTCTAAGACACAGAATTGTTTTTATTTTCCTTTTTCTATAAATGGACACCTTGCTAATAAGCACCAGGTGGCTGATTGCCTTAGTTCTCCATAATCTCCCAGAACAAGCCATAAGACTATATGGCTGAATTTCCACACCAGGGCACTTTTTAAGTGAAAGGGGACTTTGGGCCAACTGTCATAAGCCAGGACTTGGCCAGGCAAACCAGGACTTGTGGTCACTCTACCCCAAACCCATCCCAGCTGCATCTCTGCTTCCCACCCCTCCTCAGTCCTCTGGGATTTTGTGGCCTAAACTGACACGGCCACAATGTGGTGGAGCCTGGATCCAAACCCAGGCTAGCCTCTTTCTCTGCTCTTAACCACTTCAACAGAAAGCGCATTGTGAACACTAGCCAGAGGACAACTTCACAGTGCTCACAAATGAAGCATGAACTAGTTAACCCTTATTACCTTAAAGGGGAGCTGTGCAGAAATGTCCATCTTGATGGGATGTCTACCTTGATGAGAAAGTCTGGGTCTGTGTCACCCTAATATATGTGAGATATTGAGTAGGGCTGTAGCTCAGGGGATCCCAGGCAATCAAAGTGCAACAAGTGGGCAAAAGGAGTTTTTGACCTGAAATAGAGCTGAGAATCTAGAGGAGGTAGGGCCGTTCCCTGGGTTGGGACATGGCAGCCATCCCAGAGACAGTGAGAAGGGCACAAGAGCATGAAGAGAACACACATGCTGAGGGACTCTTTTAGGCAAATGGGTCAATTAGTTCACTGACTTCAACTCACTGCAAAGGAGGTGCCAATTGCCATTTTATAGGTGAAGTGACTTGCCTCGGCACCCCAGGCTGACTCAGGGATTAGACCAGGAGAGAGCTGGCCTTGCCAATATTGGCCCAGTGTACAGTAGGAACTCAACTCATGTTCTTAGGAATGCATGGATAGACATGTGGCTGGTTGGCTAATTGGGTGGGTGGATGGATGGATGGATGCGTGGACAGACAGACGGGTAATGTTAGACAGGTTACACAGGTTACACACAGTTGCCTAAGCTAGATCTTGAACGGAACCCACTACTGCTGGATCTGTTAAATCGTACTCCCTTAGAGGGAAGCTCCCTTCTCATCTGCCTTGTGAAGCTGGGACCCCATTTGGGCTCCACAGTCCCATGAAAGGGAAACAAGCTTCGCAAAAGCTCCCTAAGAGCCCTCTCTGGGTTTCAGGAGTTCTGGAACAGACCTCCTAGCATCATCAGCCTCTCAATCTATATACTCAATTGTCATATATTTCCCCTTTCTCCTATCCTTCTCCTCACCCACTCCACTGCCCAAGTATCCCTGAGATGCATCTTCTTCTCCCCAACCCTCCCCATATCCACCTGATTCAGGCCTCATCATCTCTTCTCTGGACCATCCAGCCTCTTACCTGGCCTTTCTGCTTCCAGACTCACCCCCTTTGACAGACACCCACTCCAAAGGGACCACTCTAAAATGCAGATCAGGCCCTTCCTGATCTGGCCATTCTCTCAGATGCATCCTGGATTTGTAGTCAGTCACTGGAGACCTCCCCACTCCCTGACTCAATACTATGCAGCCTTTCTGGGTTTCTCTCTTATTACTTCCTCTATCATATATTCCCTCTCCTTCAAGAATCCCCCAAGACCTGCAGACAGACTCATAGGCATCCAGATGCATGGCAAGGCTACAGGGTGATCGGGTCACTCTGTGGGGTGTCCCGTCAGGCCAAGAATGAGGGAAAGGGGCTGGAGCCATGAAATCTCTCTGGGAACCCTGGGAACAAGGTGCTTGAGTGGCATCAGGGTTTCAGCCTGGGGGCAGGAGATGTGTCTGTGCCCTAGCTTGGTTTCTGTCTCTTTCAGCTTAAGTTTCTGTGTAGAGAAAGGGAAAGCCTGACCACAGACTCTCCCAGCAGAGCTGACGATTAGTAATTAACTGAGAGGAATCTCAGGGGTGAGGTTAATCGGGGAACAGAGGGAGGGCAGCTAAGGTTTGGGGACTTTGCCCTTGACCCAAGGGTATAAAGAGGGTCCCAGCTCTTCCTCAGGCCCCTGGGGCTTCCTTCCAGCAGCTGAGCAGGAGCTGAAACACAGAACCCCAAGGTAAGCCCAGGGCTCCCCTGTCCGAAACCCATCCCCAAGTCTTAGTAGGAAAGAGCCTATCACCCCCAGTCCCCCACCTCTGTCCTAACTGTGCTTCCCCTTCCTGTACCCATAATCTCAGTCTCAGTCCAGCCTGGCTTCCTCCCCCAAAGTAAAAAGGACTCATGCTCTTCCAGGGCTTGGAATTCAGGTTGGCCTCCCACCCATCCCCACAACAGCCAGGGGCCCTTGGGACATTGTAGAGGTGTGGGGGTATGGGTTGCTAGTGCAGATTGGCACTCCTACGCCAACAACCAAGAACTCCTGGTGCAGTTGAGGAGATGCCAAAAGCAAGCCGAGGGCTTCCCAGACATGGGGATATCAAGGGGAAACCTTGTTACCTAAGCCAGTCCTGGTCTGAGACTCATTCATGAGAGAAAGGCCATCTGGAAGGAAGGGAGGTGGATGGGGAAAGAAGTTCATGTGTCAGGAGAGCCCAGGAACTTGAGATCCAGGTCAGCAGACCCTCCCCTGATTGCATGTCCAGCTGGTCCCATGAGCAAGCAGATGTCCATGGTCCCTCACTGCTCTCAGGACGGTCCAAACTCCTCCTGCATGTGCAGCCTGGGCCCGCATCTGTGACCTCGGCCAGCACGCATGTTCCCTGGCCCCCTCCAGCTGCAGGGCATTCTCATTTCCTTCCAGCCCAGGGCTCCTGCACACATGCCCTCCTTGCTCTCCATCTGAGAACTCCTACTCCTGCTTCATCTCAGCTTAATCATCTGTCTCTCTCCTCCTGCAAGAGTCTACCCCCTGCCTCAGGGCACTCTGGTGGCACCTGTATCTGTCACTAGAACACATTGCCCCCATTACCACTTGCCGTCTATTTGAGGGATTATTTCATTGACATCTATCTCCCCATGAGACTTTGAGCTTTTAGGGGGCAGGAGTTGTCCTTGTATTTATGAGGTCATCACTGTACCCCATCATCTAGCTTAGTGCCTGGGATTGAATAGAACAGATGCTCAATCAATACTTGCTGAATGAATGAATAAATGAATCTGGGCTGAGCCCCTGAGTGTGTATCTCTGAGTATATGTGGGTGTACTTCACTGAGTGTACTTCACTGAGTGTGTGTTTGGGATCACACGCCATGGGTGTTTGTGCATGTAAATATGTAGGTATGGATGTCAAGGGGTGGGTGCGTGAGTATGTGTAAGTTTCCAAGACCCAGTAGTTGTCATTCAGTGTTACTATGGCCCCACTGTGTCTGCCTAGGATGATGGCCTATGGAGAGAGGCTGGGGAGCCCAGCTGTCTCCCCACTCCCGGTCCGAGGGGGACACATGATGCATGGGACGGCCTTTGCCTATGTGCCCAGCCCTCAGGGTGAGTGCTGCTCCCATCCCTGGTCCCTTTATGCCCATAGTCGTTCACATCCCTGCTGAGGTCTCCATCCCTCTGCCTCTCCCCCAACCCCCAGCCAACCCTGCCTGTCCCAGGGCTTCTGGGAACTCCTGACCAGCCTCTCTCCCCAGTCCTGCACAGGATCCCAGGGACCTCCGCCTATGCCTTCCCCAGCCTGGGCCCTGTGGCCCTTACTGAGCACAGCTGCCCCCGTGGGGAGGTTCTGGAGTGCCATGACCCGCTGCCTGCCAAGCTGGCCCTGGAGGAGGAACGGAAGCCAGGTGGGCCTGGGAAGGGGGTGGACAGCAGGGACGTCAGCAGTCAGTGCCCTAGACCCTGGCCCCTGTGCTCATGGCTGGCTCATCTCCAGAGCCTGAGCTGGCCCAGAAGCTGCGCCGGGCTGGCATGACACTACTCAAGGTGCCTCTGATGCTCGCCTTTCTCTACCTCTTCGTCTGCTCCCTGGACGTGCTCAGCTCTGCCTTCCAACTGGCTGGAGGTAGGACCAGAGGAGGGGATCAGGGCAGGGTTCCTGAAAGGCATCATGCAACACTGGTTCATGCTCCCCAGGGAAGGTGGCTGGTGACATCTTCAAGGACAATGCCATCCTGTCCAATCCAGTGGCAGGGCTGGTGGTGGGGATCCTGGTGACCGTGCTGGTGCAGAGCTCCAGCACCTCCACGTCCATCATTGTCAGCATGGTCTCCTCTGGCTGTGAGTTGGCTCACCAGGGCTAGGGAAAGAGCATGGGGGCTGGGTGTGTGGATGGGGGCTGAGGTGGTATATTGGGGCCGGGAGGCTGGGGGGAGGAGTGGGGACAGAGAGCTAAAGGCAAAGGGCAGGGCTCTTTCCGCATCAATCACTCTGTCTTCCAAGGCAGGGCCAGGAGTCTCAGCCAGGGGTGCCCTAAGATCTGGAAAGGGTGGCAAATGGGGAGTACAGCCCCAGGGAGGCTCAGCTTCACATTACCACACAGTTCCTCATTCCATCAGCCACAGAAGAGGAACCTGCTAGAGATATACATATGATTTATTGCAAGGAATTGGTTTACATGATTGTGGGGCTGGCTAAGCAAGGCCAAAAGCTATGGAGCAGGCTATGAGGAAGGGCAGACTGGAACTCCTGGGCAGAAGCCAATACTGGGTATTGTTCATAAGGCCTTGTATCTCAGTTTTGCTCATAAGGCCTTGTATCTCAATTTTGCTCATAAGGCCTTGTATCTCATTGGATGAGGCCCGCTCAGATGATCAAGGATAATCCCCTTTACTTAAAGTCAACTGGTTGTAGAGGTGACTCACAACTGCAGAATCCCTTCACAGCAACATCTAGACTGGTCCTGGGTTGAATGACTGAGTACTATAGTCTAGCCAAGCTGACACTCGACACTAACCATCACACTCATGTATACACGCACATACAAACACAGATACTTATTTACATACATGACATGTGCCCTCATATACGTATGTGTGCATGCAGTGCTTCTGATCACACGCATGCGCACATATAGCATGTGCCCATATGTACCTGTGACAGCAAGCCTGGGCAGCAGGACTGCCCGATGGGGGCTGGGATGTGGGTAGTGAGTCTAGAGGGATGTGTTGTGGGGTCAGGAGCTGAGTGGCTCTCAAATAGTTAGTTAGAAGGTCCTCTCTTCTACCAGTGCTTGAGGTGAGCTCTGCTATCCCCATCATCATGGGCTCCAACATTGGCACCTCTGTCACCAACACCATCGTGGCCTTGATGCAGGCGGGGGACAGGACTGACTTCCGGCGGTAAGGGAGTAGAGTGGTGAGGGGCTAGAGTGGTGAGCGGCCTGTGTTTGTCACAGGGGTGGTCCCAGGGGACAGGAGTCCCCAGTGTAAGTGCATCCCAGCTCTAGCCTGCCCTACAATGTGGCCTCCCTGCCCAGGGCCTTCGCAGGGGCCACGGTGCACGACTGCTTTAATTGGCTGTCAGTTCTGGTCCTGCTGCCTCTGGAGGCTGCCACTGGGTACCTGCACCATGTCACTGGACTGGTGGTTGCCTCCTTCAACATCCGTGGGGGCCGTGATGCCCCTGACCTGCTCAAGATCATCACAGAGCCCTTCACCAAGCTCATAGTCCAGGTGGGGGCAAGGTTGGCATGGGGTGGAGGCTGGGGGATAGTAAGGACCCCTCTCTCACTCCCCCCACTCTACATCCTGCCCACAGCTGGACAAATCTGTGATTACCAGCATTGCTACTGGTGACGAGTCCCTGAGAAACCATAGTCTCATCCGGATCTGGTGCGGCCCAGACCCCACGGAGGTGAGTCTCAGGTCTGGCCCCAAGTAGTAAGTAGTACTGTCCTGATTCCTTCCAGCCTCACACTGACTTTAGGCAGCTATTACCAATCAACTAGAGTCAGCATGCAATCGATTTAGCCCCGTGATTCTCAAAGTATGGACCAGCAGCATCTGTACCACCTGGGAACATATCAGAGCTACAAAGTATTCAGCCCTTCCCTAGACTCTAAACAAACACTTCGCGAGGGCGGGGGGGTGGGAGGGAGGCGCCATGCATATGTGTCAACAAGTCTTCTAGGTCTGCTCCATGCTCATGTTTGAGAACCACTGGTCTAGCTCAACCTTCTGGTTTCATAGGTAGAGAGAACAGGCTTCGAGAGGCTGAGACACTCAGAGCCTGTCCAGCCGGCTCAGGGCCCTGTGTGCAGGTCTAGCAGTCTGGGGCTCTCTCCTCCCCACCAGGGTGCCAGGGAGACTAGGACCCAGCTCTGCCATGTTTGGGGGCCCAGGTAATGGGGGGCACGGCAGAGAAGGTGGAGAAGGATGCCTAGGAAAGCCGGACAAACAAGAGCAAGACCAGAGGGCTGTGTGGAGACCTCACTGGAGCCACAACTGCCACTTGTGGCGACCCCGGGGTTCCTCCACCTGGAGACTGTCACAGGCGTGTGTCTACTTGTCCTTTGGCACTGTTTCCACTGCCCAGAATGAAGATATCGATGGAAACTTGTGGACCTGCCATTATACCAGGCTAAGAAGGAAGCAGGCAATTAGCACACTTTCTCACTCAGCCATAAAAAAGGAAATGCTTCATCAAAACCATAATCCCCAGTATTTGCTTCTCCCTAATTATCACATACAAGAAGCAACTCCATTTGGAACAAGATATGAGGAAAGCCGAAGCCAAAGGCGCAGCACAGCCTGTCCCCCTCATCCTTCCTACTTGCTACTTGATATTACCGGCCCTTTATCCCAGCGTGAACAGAGATCATCCTTTCAACCATGGCCTATGAGGTTCCTTTGCGTCTGAGTGGTGCACAGCTCTGCTTCGGTCCTTTGAGTGTTCAAGGCAGTCTGACATCAAAAAGCCCACACGGGCAGCTCTTACGCTGGCTTGGTGACCCCTCTAACGCAGCGCCACCTTCTCACCAGCCCTCTGGGCCCTCTCTAAGCTCTCTGAATTGCCCAAATCCTCTCTACTTCAAAGCAGAACCTGGATGACAGAGAAATCACACGGTTTGATCGTCAGAAAAAGACAAGCCGTGGAAGGGAGGTCCTGAGCTGTGGAGTTCCTCACTTGCTCTGAAATCCCTGTTGCCCACCTGCAGCTGCATTCAGCAGGTCTCCCCTTATAATACATGTACCAGCCGTAACCCTGCCCTGACGGAGTCCTCACAAAATGCTGGCGAGCTGGACATGAGTATCCCATTTTCCACAAGAGGAACCTGAGGCCTACTGACGTGAAGTAACCCACTCAAGTTCACTCGGCAGGGGCTGGCCTCACTGCTCCTGATGCTCCTTGCCTGAGCCCTGGTTTCTCATCTCAACTCTTGCAGGAGAACTCTTCTTTAAGAGCAGCCTCCAGATGGGATTTCCCTGGCTTGGAGAGTAGCTGAGGGGTGGGATCCGAGCTCCCCGTTCTCACCCTCTCTCTAGGTCAGATGCTGCAGAACACGGTTCCACAGCCATGTGCTTGTTCTTGCCATGTGTGCTGGTGGTTTCTCCCTCACCAAAGACTTGCATTTTTCCTTTGGCCACCGAGTCTCCCTTCCAACCGGTCCTCATGGCTTCCAGCTTTCACCAAACTGGACCCAACTTTACCCAAACCAGTCTCCAAGGAACCAAGTCACCAAAGACAGTACTGGGAATCTGAGATGGTGGAAGAAAACCCAGAGGCAGTTTTAATGTTGACGCTCCAGAGACCTAACACTAGAAAATTACCTTCTTACGTACTCACACTTTGGATTGTCAACCATACTTGACTGGCCTAAACAAGCATCCTTTGAAGACTCGCCATGGGGAAACAGGATTTATCACTTTCCCATTTTACAGCTGAGGAAACTGAGGCTCAGAGAGGCTTGCCCAGGTGCATGCCATTGAGGTAGGATGAAAATCCTGGTGGAGTCTGGAGCCCATGCTTCTGAACCCCCATCTTGCTGGCTCTTTCAGAAGCCAGCCCAGTGTTCCACCATATATGTCCATTCCCCGCTCTGCCCACCAGGCCTGAATGCCGCCAGGCGACCACAGTCACCCAGAGACTGCCCCCCCCCCCCCCCCCCCCCCCCCCCCCCCCCCCCCCCCGGGTGATAGGTACTACTCTAAAAAGGAGTTCTCCTCTTTGCCACCAGACGGCGCTGCTGGCACGGTGATTTCTGCTTCCAGGAAAAACAAAGACCCTAGAGCTCCCCTCACCCTGCAGCCTGAACCACCACACAGGCCCATCCTGTGCGTTTTTCTCCAGGGGAAGGAGTCCTGGAGCCTGATTCACAGTCTTCTGTGAGCTTACTTTCAGAGGTGCCTCCTTAATTTGGGGTGTCCCTACAAACACTTAAATCCTAACTCTCTTCCAAGATTCCTCAAAACTAGTCTCTTGGGAAGAGATGGGCAGCATCATAGGCCTCATGCTGCAGGGAAGGAAACGGAGGCCCAGAGAGGTTAAGTGTTTGTTCCAGCATCACATAGCTGGGAGTGGCTCAACTGGGGTCTCAGCTTAGGCCTGCCTGGCCCTCATTTATTCTGTTCTTCCCACCCCCACCACATCCCCAGGCCCAGGCCAGATGGGCACATCTAGGGGTATGTCCCAGACCCTGGGCTGCCCAGTTCTTTATCTAGGCTAGAGCTCCCACCTTCTTGACAAGGAAGCCCTGAGCCTGCTCCGTCCCCTCCCCCAGTACCCACCCCCAGCCTGACTGTGCAGTCTACCCACGCTCTAGCCTCCCCACTCCCCTACTTGTCTCTTGCCCTTTACAGTGTCTGGATTCCCCCTGTGAGCTCAGCCAGAGCCACACAACCCCATGCAGGAAGGTCAAGTTTCAAAACCCTAAAGGCCTTAGCCCTGAGTCTTGCCTTGCCCTGACACAGCCAGCCCTGAGTGGGACGCCAGTGAAGTTCCTCACTTAAGAGACCCATGGGCCCAGCCAGGTCAGTGGGGCACAGGCTGGTCAGGTACGCATTTATCTCAGGGATCATCTGCCTCCCATGGTTCCAGGCTGGTCCCCCAAGGTCCTCCCCAAAAGGGCCAGGATCTCAGGATCTCAGGTACACCTGCAGGAGCCATTGATCCTGACCTAGGAAGTCAATCTCACAGAACACATACACACACACACACCCTTCCCACCATGCAATCCTGAACGGGCCCAGGAATGAAGGGAGTCTAATCCTTATTAGGAGGCACAATTTACTGAAGACGTGTTCTGGGATAAGCCTGCAGAGAGTACTTCACACACATTTTCTCCTGTAACCTTTATAAGAGCTCTTTTGCTATCCTGCTTTAAATAGGCACAGAGAGGTGGCATGACTTGCCCCAGTTGGTATTAGGAAACAGAACTTGCTCAGATCTGCTGGACAGCAAACACATGGCTCTCTCCCATCACTTTCCCAGCCTGCTTTTCCAACAGAGCCCAACAGAGGGTGTTCTCTCCTGGTTTCTCAGTTTGCACTTCTGGCCTGGGTTTGAGGGTGCCCCAGGGCCCTGGTGCGGCCAGCTGGAACACAGATGAGCACAGTGCCTCACTCACAGCAGCACATACCACTAAAATAAACCTGATTTAAAGCCAGGCACCAGAAATACTTCTTACTATCATATATTTTATAAATGACACAGTTTGGAATAAACCCCAAAGGAGCTGCAACATTGAAGTACCAGTCCCCAACCTGAGCCGCTACCCTCAGCACAGGGGAGGTGGGGGGAGGAGATGAGAGGCAGAACTCCTGGGGGGGGGGGGGATGGACTAGGGCCCCTATCAGCTCCCAGAGGAGGCAGAATGCAAATAAGGAAAAGCTGTAGCTCTGGTGCTTTTCCTGGGGCCCTGGAAGTAATTGCCTGTTCCTGGGGCTCAGTTCCTCCTTTGTGAGATGGTTTCTCCCCATCCAAGCCCAGCCCACTTTCTCTTTTCGAGGCTAGGATCCGGAGGGAAAGGTAAGGCATTCCACTTGCATTTAAGAAAAAATAATTCCTCAGTCCAATGAGGTTGCAAATTAGTGGCCCTCACAGGATGTGGTTTCTCTTGTAGAAATGAGCCACTTGGCCAAGCTGGGCTGTGTCCCTGGATGGTGACAGAGGCCTGGGCCTGAGTGGCTGCTGCCCCTAGAGCCCCAACACACACTCCCCCACCACCTCCACACTTAGCCTGAGCCCCTCGCTTAGGCTACCTGCCTGGCTCTGGGCCTTCTGAATCGGGGGGCCTCTCTGGAAGCTCCCCTCACTTCACTGACAGTACGTGGAGGGTGGAGGAAGGGTGGGGCCTGTGCTTTTGCCCACCTGTGGTCCCGCCACTCCCTGCACCCCAACATCTCCCATAAGGATTTGAACGAGAGGACAATGGAGCTTGGGCTGATGGTGGCTCAGGGGAAAGGATGGGGCACAGGTGCTGGGGAAGTGGGGGCACCAAGAGAGGGACTTGTGATAAAGGATGAAGAAGGGAGAGTTTTCAGGAGGGCCATGGTCAATAGGCCCAATGCCAAGGAGAGGTGGAAGAAAACAAGGACAAGAAGCCACCGGATCAGGAGGCTGCAGGCTCCAGTGAGAGCCAGATGAGCAGAGTGATAGCACGGAATATTCAGAGGGCTGACCATGGCCAGATTCTTGTGTGGCGGCTGTTTTCACCTCCAACTCTCCAGCTGAGGAGATAGGCTCAAAGAAGACAAGCAAGCTGTCCAAGGGCATGTAGCCAGGAGGCCCACTTCCATACCCCCACCCACCACTTCTTCCTAACCCCCACCTTATCTCCAACCCCTGCTGCATTTTCCTAAATTCTAAATCACTCTCCTCTTAATCTAGGCTCCCACCCCCATGTCCAGGGCAGAGGTCAATACCAGCTGGACCACTGGAAATGCCACCATGGAGAAATGTGAGTGCCTGCATCATGGGAGATATTTGGAATGGCAGGGGCAGAGCCGGGCAGAGAAAGGGCTGTCCCCAACCTGGCCACTGCTGCTACCAGCCTCAGGAAAGCCAGCTGTCAATGAGCTCAGCCCCTGGGCTTGGGTTAGGCCCTGCTGTTGAGCCGGAGGTGGGGCCCGAGACTCCATTCTCAAGGGGGCAGTAAAGGTGGGATGCTGGGAACCAGCTGTGGGGGTTCAGCTCTCAGCAGCCTGACACCTCTTCTGCCAGGCAACCACATCTTCGTGGACACAGGGCTCCCCGACCTGGCTGTGGGGCTCGTTCTGCTGGCCGGCTCCCTGGTGGTCTTATGCACCTGCCTCATCCTCCTCGTCAAGATGCTCAACTCTCTGCTTAAGGGCCAAGTGGCCAAAGTCATTCAGAAGGTTATCAACACTGGTGAGCCCCAGGAACTGGGTGTGCGGGCCCCAGGATGGGCCCTTCCAAATATCACTACACCCCACTTGCTGTGTGATCTGGGTAAAGCCCTACCATCTGTGAGCCTCAGTTTCTCCCTGTGAACAAAGAAGAGGTTGTGCTCGATGACTGCTGAGGCCCTTGAGGTGTTGGCGGCTGGGGATCTGTGGCTGCCTCTGGCTGCGGCTCCGTTCTAGCAGGTGGCTCTAAACAGCTCCTCAGATTCATTCAACAAGTGCTCATGAAACCCGTGTGCCCAAGCATGATTTAGTGCCAAAGATACAGAGGTGAGCCCCAGAAATGGATCCCACCCTCAGGGGGCTCACAGACCAGAGCGGGGGACGGATGTACAGTGAAAAATTAACGACTGGGTGGGGATACATTCAGACAGAGAAGTTACTGCTGAGAAGAAATCAAAAATGACAAATACGGAGTGTGGAAGGAGCTGCTTTCAATGGGCGGTCAGCGGCCTCTGTGAGGAGGCCTAAGTAAGGAGGAGTCGTCAGATGTCTCTGAATTGTGAGCCAGGCAGGAAGAGGTCAGTAAGATAATAGGGTGGAGCAGGTCACGGGGCCCCCACAGCCTGTGCTCAGAGCCAGGACTTTGTAAAGGGTAATAGGGGTACTTTTGGGTTAAGGGCTGGGGCAGTGGAGTGACACCACCTGACTTTCATTTTAAATGCATTTCAAGCTTTTGGGGATGCTGCCTGGCACTGGCAGAGGCTGCCTAACAAGTGCTGGAATAAGGTACATCTATGGGAGCTTAGGGAAGCGAGAAATGAAGTCCACCGGAGGGCCAGGGGTCACGGAGGGCTTGTCAGCAACCATGGTAGCTGATATCATGTAGGAGGGCTACAGAGGCGCATGGGTGGCTCAGTCGGTTGGGCGTCCAACTTTGGCTCAGGTCATGATCTCACAGTTCATGGGTTCGAGCCCCATGCTGACAGCCAGCTCAGAGCCTGGAGCCTGCTTCGGATTCTGTGTCTCCCTCTCTCTCTGCCCCTCCCCTGCTCGTGTTCTGTCTTACTCTGTCTCTCAAAAATAAATAAATGTAAAAAAAAAAAAAAGTAGGAAGGCTACAAGTGGAAGCCACTGCAGCTGAGCAGGAGACAGACAAGGCCCCACTTGGAAGCTGCCATCCAATGCCTCCTCCCTAAGAAAGGTCTTGGCTACTCCCCCAATGCCCTCCTACTGACCCTGTTGGACGGGGGTGTCCTCCTAGACTTTCCTGCCCCCTTCACCTGGGCCACAGGCTACTTTGCCATGGTGGTGGGAGCTGGCATGACCTTCGTTGTCCAGAGCAGTTCTGTGTTCACCTCAGCCATCACCCCCCTCATCGGTGAGTGCCCGTGGCAGGGCAGGGTGCCGCAGGGTGGGCTGGCGGGAAAAGGGCTGAAGGAGGGGCTGAGAGAATCCGTCTTCTCTGTCTGGCCCCAGGCTTGGGTGTGATCAGCATCGAGCGGGCCTACCCCCTCACACTGGGCTCCAACATTGGCACTACCACCACGGCCATCCTGGCTGCACTGGCCAGCCCCAAGGAGAAGCTCTCCAGCGCTTTCCAGGTGCGCCTAGAAGGGTGCCTGCCGGGGCAAGACAGGGCGGGGGCTGGGGCGTGGTGCCTGACCCAGGGTGGGACACCATGTAACAGTTTTTGGCTGCCTACTAGGGGCTGCCCACCATGCCAGGCTCTGTGGAAACTATACAGGCCAAAGTAGACCTGGTGCCACCCCCAAAACCTTAGCATCTAATGGGTAGACATTACTCAGATAATGTCTGGGACAGTGGGATTTGCACTCTGAAGAAGGGGTGCGGCAAGAGGGGCCTGGCCCATCCTGGGAAATCAAGGACAAGTAGGGGGCAGATGGCAAAGGGGTTGCTGTTCTAGGAGCAAAGAAGTAATGACAAGCCTGAGGCTGGGGCCAGGGCTCAGACCAATAAGGACAGAGCAGCTGAGCCAAAAACTAGAATCTTCTTGCTGCTGAGTTTGGGCAGAATCTGCTGGGGGAATTTACGTCAGTGGGGAAATTGCAGAGAGTTAGGGCAGCGTTTATTTACTACCTGGTCCAGAAGTGTTTCAGTATTTTGCCAGGAGCACATCTGCCCTCTGGTGACTTTCCTGCTGCCCAGGCCAGGCCAGGCTCCTGTGATCTATCCCTGCCGGCACGACAGCGAGCTGGAGCCCATGCCCACCTCAGCCCCTCTGCCCTCTCCCCTACAGATTGCCCTCTGCCACTTCTTCTTCAACATCTCGGGCATCCTGCTATGGTACCCAGTGCCCTGCACGCGCCTGCCAATCCGCATGGCCAAGGCGTTGGGCAAACGCACTGCCAAGTACCGCTGGTTCGCTGTCCTCTACCTCCTCCTGTGCTTCTTGCTCCTGCCCTCCCTGGTGTTTGGCATCTCCATGGCAGGCTGGCGGGCCATGGCAGGGGTGGGCGCACCATTTGGGGCCTTGCTGGCCTTTGTGGTGCTTGTCAATGTCCTGCAGAATCGCAGCCCCAGACACCTGCCCAAGTGGCTGCAGACATGGGACTTCCTGCCCCGTTGGATGCACTCCTTGAAACCCCTGGACCGTCTCATCACCCGTGCCACTTTGTGCTGTGCCAGGCCTGAGCCCTGCTCACCCCCGCTGCCCGCCAGGGTCTTCCTGGAGGAGCTGCCCCCTGCCACACCCTCCCCCCGCCTGGCACTGCCTGCTCGACACAATGCCACCCGCCTCTAGCCTCCAGCCCAGACTGCTGCCTGGGGCAGGGAAGGGCCTGGCCTGTACCTGCTGCCCACCGCAGAAGGGCAGAGGGGAGTGTCTGTACTCTGGGCCTAGGCCAGTCCTTCTGCAGGTCCTCAGAGGTCTGGGCTGGTGTGACTGAAAGTCAGTGTGTGTGCATGTGTGGGCATGTCCGGTGAGACTGTGTCAGCCTGCATGTGTGAATTGAGGCACCTGTGGGGGGGTGTGTGCAGGCTACGGGGGACTGGGTATGATTTTGAGTCCTTTGCACACCAGGAGGCCTTGTTTGGAGGCCTGTGCTGGGTTCTCCTGAACACACAAGTCCGACTCGGTGGGGCAGGAGTAAGGGTGGGTCTGAGGACAGGACCTGCATTTGTTTGGTTGTGCATAGATGTGAGTGCCTGTGTCACTGGCTGAGTTCTCACCCCTCCCTGTCACCTTCCTTCCTCTATTTTCCAGTCTCCTTATCCTCACCCAGTTGTTCTGTGGCACCGCTACAACCCCCTTTCCCAATACTGCGTGATGAAAAAGGAATTAAATTCTTATGCATTTACAAGTCTGCTTCCTTTCCATCTGGGAGTGGGGGTAGATCATGGCTTGGGGTTCAGCAGCACTGTCTCCTGCAAGCTCACCCCCCACAATCCACTTAACCCTGCCTTAATGAATCCAACCTGATTCAGACCCTCTGGGAGTTCCCCCTAGGTCCTGGGGTCACCCCCAAGGCAAGTATAAGAAGGGCTCTCTGTACCATCCCCACCCACTCACCCACCCACCCCATCTGGCTGACTTCCCTCTGGTCTCTCTCTGCCTCTGGACTCATCCACCTCACTTCCCCTTTCTGGGATAAGATTAATGTTCCAGAAAACAAGTGACAGGTGGGGGCTTGTCGGGGGACACTGAGGGAGGGGACAGGGAAGGTGAAGATGGACAAGAGAGGCCATGCTCTGGGCCCTAGCACATAGTGGGCAGGGACCAGCCACCGTCCCTCCCACCTTTGTCCTTTACCTTTGGGCAATAAGCCAAGCCTAACTTTAAACCCACGCAAGCTTTTCAAGCCACCTGGGTGTCTCAGTTGGTTAAGCATCGGACTACAGCTCAGGTCATGATCTCACAGTTCGTGGGTTCAAGCCCCTTCAGTGCTGACAGCTTGGGCCTGGAACCTCCTTCAGATTATGTGTCTCCTCCTCTCTCTGCCCCTCCCCCCCTCAAAAATAAATACTAAAACAAACAAATCCATCCAAGCTTTTCAAGTCCTCCTTTTCCATAGGGCCCCTGAAGCTGAGGCCTGCAGAGTGACGGTCAAGGGGTAGGGGATGCCTAAGTTCCTCCTTCTAGTCTAGGGAGTCCTCTGGGGCATTTGAACTCCAAGCAGGCAGAAGGCTGTAGGGCCCAGACCTGGTTGTGATAGTCTTGGCCACATGTTCTTCTCCCACTCCCTGTGGAATACGTGGGAGGAGATGCAAGAACCCGGGAGCCCCAGAGTTGCTCTCCAAGCTACCAGCCCTACTCCATCACCCACTCACACTTGAAAAGGCTTCCTCCTCCTGCCAAGTGGTGGGGGTGAGAAGTACACTGGCCTCCAGCCTGACTCCCTGACCCCACAGGGTCTGGCTGGGGTTCGCTTGCGGAGGGCTGTGGGAGGACTACGTCTACAGTTTGTCCTGCACAGACGTGTGGAGTTTTCTTGGGAAAGGGCTCTGGGAAGTCAGGCCAGAGGCCTCTGCAGGGCACTCATGGATAGCAGGGCCAGGTCTAGGGTACAGGAGGCTGGGAAGCCTCTGAACTCAAAATCCCAGGCCCATAAGGTAACCCCTCTGCAAGAATCTTTCAGTAAACTGGTTTCCTCATCTGCAACTGCCCAACACGCAAACACAGCACGAGCCAGCCATGCCCAGCAGTTTATTTTGACGCAGCCACCGGTGGCCTAGCTGTACTGCTATGTGCCCTGCTTGCGTAACCCATTAGTCAGTTCGTGCACTGTCTTGTTGAGGATGCCCCCGTGCACACCCCGGCGGCCCATGAGCACCAGGAGCGCGCGTGGGGTGTGGCCCACACAGATGGCGCGCCCATCTAGCCCCTTAGTGCGAGCGTCCAGAACACCATCTCCCTCAGACAGCAGGTGGTCTCGGATGACGCAGCAGCGGCGGCCTGCCACACTCAAGCCCGTCTGCAGGAAGGTGCGCCGGTCAGGCCCTGTGAGCACACCCACCTCCTGTGGTGATATGGCAGCTAGAAGGCCCCCAGGGCGCGATGCCCACACGCAACGATTGTCCGAGTGGCCCACAATGGCCACGTCATCAATACGCTGGTCCCGCAGCACCGCACTGATATAGCCTTTCCAGTCTCCCATTCCGGCTCAGAGTGTGCCCTAACCTTGCACTTTTAAGGGATATCCGGCTGCTCCATGTGCCTGGAACTCTGGGCACTGTGAGGCATGTCTGGGCGGGGTTGTGACACTGAGGCATGGTGATGTCACAAAGATGTTATGTACGCTGGAGGATGTGTACATGGGGTGAGGGAGAGAAGTTCATATCTTAGGCATGAAAGATAAAATCACATCAATCTGTATAACCCTTGAAAAACCAACTTAAATGGCTCCCTAAGCAAAGTGCCAACCTGGGTATAAGAACAAAAAGAAAGAGAGCATGTCTGGACAGCTAGACCTCTCAGACTGGTAATGATTCAACCTGCCAGAATCCCCAGTTTGATTCAACGCGAGGAACATCAGCCTCTCCTGGAAATCCACTAAACAGATTGCTGGGTCCCAAATCAAGAGCTTCTGATTCAGTAGTATGGGAGGTAGCCAGAGAATATGCATTTCTGACAAGTTCCCTTCTGACGCAGCTGCTGGTGGTCCAGGCACAATTTGAGCCCCACTGCTCTAGTGCAAGTTGGGGGTGGGGGTGTCTTCCACATTGCCAGCTCTAAGAGCCTACACCACTGTTTTGTTTTTGTTTTTGTTTTAAATATTTTTATTTATTTCTAGGAGAGAGAGAGAGAGACAGCGTGAGCAGGGGAGGGTCAGAGAGAGAGGGAGACGCAGACTCTGAAATAGGCTCCAGGCTCTGAGCTGGCAGTCAGCACAGAGCCCGACGTGGGGCTCGAACCCACGAACCGCGAGATCATGACCTAAGCGAAAGTCGGACGCTTAACTGACTAAGCCACCCAGGCGCCCTCCTACACCACTGTTTTAATGTGAAGCATTTCTAACCATGGTTCTCAGCCTCGACTGCACATGGAATCACCTGGGGAGTTTTAAAAACATACCCCCATCAACACCCCCTCCCTACAGATCTAATTGATCTGAAGTGGATCTCAGGCATAGGTTCAAAAAGCTCCCCAGATGATTGTAATGTACAGTAGAGGTTGAGAACCTCTGTTCTATAAACTTCAAATGTTAATAAGTTAGTTCTATACAAGAAATAAATATATGGAGTCATCCTACTCAGGACTTGGTACACAGTGGGGCTCAAAAAACATCAGTTGGACACCAATCTATCTCTTGTTTAAGATCTTAATAGATCCTGTACCCCGAGAAGTATGGAGAAGTGCACCAGTTTACTGTTGTGGCATGTCCCATCAGGCCCCTTGAACAACTATGCCTCTCACACATTTTCAGAAGCACTTTATTGAGTGCCTACTCTATGCCTGGCCCCCAGCTGCCAGAGCTGAGAGGAATGGAACGCAACCCTTGCCATCCAAGATTATGCACCAGCCACCCTTCCATTCCAGAATCCCCCAGGAGGGAAAGACGAGTCCCTGGATGGTCAGGAATTGGTGTGCTCTTGGATCCAGGCCAGGTAGCTGGCCACGTCGGTGTACACACCTGGCTTATAGCGGTCGCCACAACCGGAGCCCCAGCTGACGATGCCTCGCAGGATGAGCTGGTGCTCTGCGGCCTCGTCCTCACACACGAGTGGGCCCCCGGAGTCACCCTGGGTCAGGGATACGTGGCTCAGCACCCTTGGTCTGGAGTCTGCACTTGATGGGGTGGAGGAGGGCGCCAACCGGGTCCAAGGCCTCACCTGGCACGCGTCGGTACCGCCCTCGAGGAAGCCAGCGCAGAGCATGCCGGATGTAAAAGACACTCCGTGCACGTCCGGGGCGGAGCAGCGCTCCGGAGGGATGAGCGGCACCTGCGCTTCCTGCAGGAAGCTGGAATATTTCCCGGCCCCTGCGAACGGTGAACGACTTCCTCACACCCCTACCGACTCTGCTTGCTCCCCACTAACTGGCCTCTATTGCAGCAAGCCCGTGAGGAGAAGAGTTGCTGTTAACACCATTTCCAGAGAGGAGCTGGGATTTGAACGAAGAGCGGAGCACGAGTGCTTTGGAACCCCACTCCCACTTCCCACCCAATGTCTCTGAACAATGATTCCCAACTAGCCAACCGGCTGCGCCTGCGCGAGGCCGGCATCCTTGTTAGCTCTGGCATCGCAGTGCCCAGAAGTAATCAAGAGAAAGTGTGATTCTTTCTATATCTCTTAGGAGCCTTGGGGACCTCCCCGCCCCGCCCCCCAGCAGTGAAGCCCAGGCCCTGGTAGAAGACTGCAGACACAAAGGCCCGGCAAATCTTCCCAGCCCACCAGGTCAGCGCCACCTGTCCCTAGTGGTACCAAAGCTGAGAGTTTCTCTTGCCTACCCTGGTGGCCAGAGGTGTCCCTGCCTCCCCTAGCCGTTCTGCCTACCCTCAAACTGGTGGCCCCAGCCGGCGACCTCGCAGGGCGCAGCCTCTGCCTCAGCTGGGCGGGCAGCGCCGCTCGGCAAGCACACCGGCTGAACGAAAGGCGACAGGAGCGCGCAGTGGCCGTCCTCTCCTTCCTGCAGGCGGAGCAGGGCTAACCCAGGCGAGGAGGAGGGTGAGACCCAGACGCTGGGACTTTGAGCCTTCCCCTCCCCTTTCCCCTGGTGGCCGTGGGGGCGCCCCCGCCCCCGCACCCAGGTCGTGCTGGTAGGTGATGGGCGAGAAGGCCTCGTGCAGGCGGTAGGAGCGCACGGCCAGCGTCTGGCACTGCTCACAGCTCTGGTTATGGCGGTCCTGGCCGAGCACCACTCTCAGCTCCTCCGGCGCGGGCCTGCGGGCGGAGGGGGTGCGGGGGAAAGCGCTCTCAGAGCCGGCCACAGGCCTCCTGCTCCCGAGTCCCTTGCTGGGTTTCAGCTTCCTCCTGGGGCGCTGGGGAAAGGTGAGAGACAGGTAGGGTACGGGTTCGGGTGTTGCACGGAAGAGGGGCTCGGAAAAGAGACGAGCTGGGGTCCCCGGCAGGGCGCTACGCGCCCCAGGACTCGCCGGTTCTGCAGACAGTGCGCCGCGGTCAGCACCCAGCAGGAGGCGATGAGGTTACCCGCGCAGAAGTTGTGGCGCCAGTACAACGCGGCGATGTAGGGGTGCGCCCCGGGCAGGGCCACCAGTCCCCCAACCACGCGGCTCAGCGAGGACAGCCGTTTCCGGAGTCGCTGTCCGCAGCTGGCACTCGGCAGGGGAGTGGGCTGCTCCGGCGTCACGCCCAAGGCTGTGGGAGGAGCCCAGGCTGAGTGCTGGGAGACCCACCAAGGGCTGGAAGGTAGCTCGCCGCGCGCTCTCTGACTTCCTGCCACTTCCCAACTACCTGGGGTCGGGGGCTGCGGCTTCTGCAGTGCTGAGAGCGATGGCAGGAGAAAGTCCGGGTGCCCAGAGGGGACCTGGGTTGGAGGCAGGATCTGAGGAGCCTCAAGAACTGGGGCTTGGCAACGTGCCAGGCGGCAATATTCCCAGCTCAGCCGGTCGCCGCTCCACACGAAGCACCACGGGCGGGTGTCATTGTCCGGGTTCCTATAAACACCGGAGGGGGCGCTGTTAAAGGGTGAGGAGCCCCAGAGGGCCCTGGGGCAGACGGGAGCGAGCGCCCTGCTCGCCCCACCCAGCGCACCTGCAGAAGGCATGGTCGCCCAGTCCCCAGTTCAGCGCTTGCTCTGCAGTCACGTTCCGGTAGGTGGCCTCTGAGGCCCACGGCTGACACCGGGCGCCCGAGAGCGCAGTCTCAGCCGCGCCGCGGTAGTCAAGCCCGCGGCCATCAAAGCATCGCGCCTCAGTGTCTGGGGGGAGAGGCGGCTCCTTGCAGCCAAGAGCTGGTATCGTTTCCCACTGCCCTCTCAGCCACTTTCCCCACTCTCCGTAGTCCCTCTCCCGGAGTCCTTCTTACCTGGGGGCGGAGCTTCTGTTCCCTCTTAGATCCTTACTCACCTATGTCGCAGAGGCGTCCTGAGTAGCCTGCCCGGCAATGGCACAGGCGGTGGCCCTCCGCCTCTAGGCAGCTGCCCCCATTGAGGCACGGGTTGGTGTGGCAGACTGGGAGATGGAGCACAATGAAGCACCTCGGGCCTAAAGGCCCCACAGAAAATTCCCCTTTCTTTGGGCACACCGCCTGGATGCCTAACAGCTTCTCTTCCAGACCTTCGCCTTCCTCCTCTCAGGCCAATTCCTGACCCATCCACTCACCCTGGCTGGCCAGCAGCTTGCAGTGGGCATCAGGACCCTTACACTGGCACCTGGCCACACCCGCCGGCTCAAGGCTATACCAGATTTCTTTCTCATGGAAGAACTGGAGAAGCTGAGGCTCAAAGCACTTCTCTGGGGACAAATGGGAGAGGGCAGTGGTCTCAAGAGTGTCCAGGATCATGCCAAGTCTCTGCGGATCCAGAGACCTCTTCAGTAGGCCCAGGACTGCCCCTGTTTTTCCCAGCATCCCCTCCCCTGGCTTCACCATCTCCTTACCTCTCTGGCAGTGCTTCCCAGTGAAGTGTTCTGGACAGATGCAGTGTGGGCCTTTTGGCATGTTCATACAGGTCCCTCCATTCTGGCAGGGGCTGTGTTTGCTGCAGTGGTCTGAGAGATGAGCACAGTGGAAGGAAGAGTGGGGGGCCTGAGTCAGACAGCCTGGGTCATAGGAGACAATTCCCTACCCAAATCTGCTCGTCTTGTGACCTTGGCACTCCAAGTTTCCATGCCTTAGTTTACCCACTGGCAAAATGAGGCTACTTTCTCCTAGAACTTCTCCTTCTGGAGGAAGGGAAGGGTCTGGATGGGCTCAGAATACTAGGTGTGTAAGTACTCATGATACCCAGTAGAGTAACTAGTGGGAAGGAGAGGGCCCTGAGCTACCCCAAAGGCTGTGTGTAGCACCTTTCACTTTCTTGGCCTCCAGGCAGTATGCCCATTGCTGGTCCTGCTCGAAGTTGGGGCTGGTAGCGCACCTGTAGAAAGAGATGAAGCTTCCCTGCTCTGCCCAGGGGACTGGCCCACCCTTCCCTATCAGAGCCCCCTTTCTCCAAGCAGGGTTCCTTGGGCAGAAGTGTGGGCAGAGTCCATCTCCCACAGGCCCCTGCTTTAATCCCTTTTGGGTAGTCTTACCAGGGCTGGGGGCCAGGCCGGCCCTTGTGGATGCATGTGCGGTACATTTGCCGGTTGTACTGGAAGGGGAAGTAGCATGGCTCCCCAGTGACCGTGAGAACTGCAGAGATAACACACTCCCTGATGTTGTTTCCCACTCTCCCCCCCTCCCCGCAGGTGCCACCCCTCAGGGCCTGGTTGGAAAACAGACCCTTGAAAAGATCATTGTGCCTTCAAGACGTTCAGTTCTCCTGAACTGAACTTAAGATGTTCAGTTCTGTAGTCTGGCGTGGGCTCCTGACTCCACCACCTACTAATTGTGTGACCGTGGGCAAATCTGTAGCCCCCAGGCCTAGAAGAGTGCTTGCCACAGAGTAGCCACTTAATAAATGTGTTGAATGTAGAAGTCACTTGACCACTCTGAGCCTTAGTTTCCTCATCTGTGAAATGACAATAATAGCATAGTTGACCCTTAAAAACCTAAGTTTGAACCACACAGGTCCACTTATGTGTGGTTTTTTTTGATAAATACAGAACTATAAATGTATTTTCCTTATGATTTTTATTAACTTTTTCTTTTCTCTAGCTTACTTTATTGTAAGACTACTTTATGCTGAGGGCGCCTGGGTGGCCCAGTCAGTTAAGCGTCTGACTCCGGCTCAGGTCATGATCTCCTAGTCCATGAGTTCGAGCCCCACATCAGGCTCTGTGCTGACAGCTCAGAGCCTGGAGCCCGCTTCAGATTCTATGTCTCCCTCTCTCTCTGCTCCTCCCCTGCTCATGCTCTGTCTCTCTCTGTCTAGACAGTCAAAAATAAACATTAAAAAAATTTTTTTTAAAAAAAGAATACTTTATGCTGTATAATACATTTAACATATAAAATATGTGTTAATCAACTATTTATGTTATCAGTAAGGCTTCCCATCAGTGGTCTACAGTAGGCTACTAGTAGTTAAGTTTTGGGGGAGTCATAGGTTCTACATGGTTTTTCTCATACACAGGAGGGAGGGCCTCAGCTCCCCGACCTTCTTGTTGTTCAAGGATTAACTATATAGCAGAAGAGTTTCAGTTTTGAGAGATGAAAAGAGTTCTGGAAATGGAAGACTGTGATGGTTGTAAAACAATAGAGTGTACTTAATACCATTGACTTGTACACTTAATGATTAAGATAGTAAATTTTGTTATGCATATTTTATAATAAAAATCCCTTTTATTTTAAAAGATTTTTATTTAAAAATGTTTAAAGTTTAGCAGCGCCTGGGTGGCTTAGTCGGTTAAGCGTCCGACTTTCGCTTAGGTCATGATCTCGTGGTTCGTGGGTTCGAGCCCCGCGTCGGGCTCTGTGCTGACTGCCAGCTCAGAGCCTGGAGCCTGTTTCGGTCTGTGACTCCCTCTCTCTCTGACCCTCCCCTGCTCACACTGTCTCTCTCTCTCCTAGAAATAAATAAAACATTTAAAAAAAAAATGTTTAAAGTTTATTTATTTTTGAGAAAGAGAGCGAGAGAGAGTGCACGCAGGACAAAGAGAAAGGGAGACAGAGAATATCAAGCAGGCTCTGCAGTGCCAGCACAGAGCCCATCATGGGGCTTGAACTCACCAACCATGAAATCATGACCTGAGCCGAAAGCAAAAGTCAGACACTTAACCAACCAAGCCACCCACATGCCCCTTAGATTTTTATTTTATTTTTAAAATATTTTATTTGTTTGTTTTACATATAAAGAGCACACATGAACAGGGAAGAGGGGCAAAGGAAGCAAGAGGGAATCATGGCTCAATCCCACAACCCTGGGATCATGACCTGAGCCAAAATCAAGAGTTGGATGCTCAACTGGCTGAACAACCCAACCCAGTAGCCTCTAAAGATTTTTATTTTTAACCAATCTCTACATACAATGTGGGGCTCAAACTTTCAACTCCGAGATCAAGAGTCACATGCTTCACTGACTGAGCCAGCCGGGGCCCCTAAAAATCACTTTAAATGATGCTGATATATTAGTACAAGAAAGTGTTCAGAGGTGCCTGGGAGGCTCAGTCCGTAAAATTGAGCCCTGCATCCAGGCTCTGTACTGACAGCACAGAGCCTGCTTGGGAGTCTCACTCTCTGACCACCCCCTCCACTCATGCTTTCTCTCTCTCTCAAAATAGATAAGTAAACTTAAAAAAAAAAAAAAAAGAGAGAGAAAAGTGTTCATAATTTTAAATGAAGAAGAGCAAGTTAAAAACAGCATGTCAAGAGGCCCCTGACTGGCTCAGTCAGTAAAGCATGTGACTCTTGATCTCGGGGTTGAAAGTTCAAGCCCCATGTTGGCCATAGAGATTACTTAAAAATAAGATCTTAAAAACAAAATGAAACAAACCCAAGAAATCAGCATATCAAATGTGGTCCTATTTTTGTACAAATATATTTGCATATACATCAAAAGAGAAATCTAGGACGTGCTCCAAAGTTTGTAGGAGTGGTTTTTAGAAGATAGTGGATTACGGAAGAATTTTTTCTTCTTTTGCATTTCTGTCATTTCTAATGTTTTTACAATAAAAATGTTGCTAGTAGCCATTATTATTTTTAAAAACAGTACAGTACAGCCACTCCATTTGCAGCTTTTACAAATCTGTCTTCTTGCTATAATTGATTGGTAATCCCCAAACCAATTCTCACGGTGCTTTCATAGCCATGCATGCAAACCAATTCTCACGCTTTTGTAGATGTGCATGGAGTAGTGAAAAACGTGGGGTGCCTGAAGCACACAGTCCCAGCTAAGGCGAAACAAGGTCATGCTCTGCTTCTTGTTTCAGCTTTTCTGTAAACACGTGTCTTTTTCTTGGTATAATCAGAGCCACAATTTTGAAATTTTATGCTTCTGGTAGATGATTTTACTGTTGAAAATGGCCCCCAAATATGGTGCTGATGTTCCTCAGTGCAAGCAGACCATGATATGTATTCTAGAGAATATTTACATGTGAGAAAAGCTTTGTCCAGGCATGAGTTATAGTGCTGCTGGCTATGACTTCAGTATGAATGAAGCAACAATACAGTAAGTAAGATGTCTTGAAACAGAATGACACATAAAACAAGGTTTTATGTTGATAGTTGATGAAAATGTTGTGACCAGAGCTCACAGGAACCTAACCTTATATTTCCTTTAGGAGCAGTCATTCAGTATTTGCTAATTCCGTGTTCTCTGTGACTTTATAGAACATGACAACCATGAATGACAAGACGACTATCTACTTCGGAGGAGTATTGTGAAGCGTAAATAAGTTGATGTCTATCGTACACTCAGCACAGAATGTGGCACAAAGTATGTGCTCAATAAGCATAGCTGCTATTTTGTCATTAAAGGCAAAGGGGCACTTGCTGAGGGCCAGGCCAGGAACAGGATTAAAGGAAGGGAGACCTTTAAGATGTAAATGGGATGGGGGCGCCTGGGTGGCTTAGTCGGTTAAGCGTCCGACTTTCGCTTAGGTCATGATTTCGCGGTTCGTGGGTTCAAGCCCCGCGTCGGGCTCTGTGCTGACTGCCAGCTCAGAGCCTGGAGCCTGTTTCGGTCTGTGACTCCCTCTCTCTCTGACCCTCCCCTGCTCACGCTGTCTCTCTCTCTGTCTACTAGAAATAAATAAAACATTAAAAAAAAAAAAAAGATGTAAATGGGATGGACAGAAAGGAGGAAGACCTCAAGTAGATGATTAAGCAAAGGCAGGGCACTTAGGTTGGCCCAGGCAAAAGAGAGGAAAGCAGTTTGGCTGGGTGTGTAAAGATGAGAAGAGGAGGCGGAGACAGGCAGGGTTGGGCGTGGGGGCCCAAGTGCCATGCTGAGGGGCTGGGCCTGGCCTCACCACACAAGGTTTACCAGGGCAGGGTCCATCTAGTTCACAGTTTGAGGTAAATATTGAGTGCCTAGAAGAATGAACGCAATGGGGAGCTGTGGCATGGTTTGAGGAGGGGGGAGATACAGACACATCCCCCATCTAAAAGGGAGCTTGATAAGTAAAAGCTAATGTAGTTTACACATTCACCATGCAGCAGTCTGTGGGCTGAGTGCCTCGCATGGATTAACAACTCATTTCTCCATCTCCACAACCCTAAGAGATTTATTATTACCACCCTGGTTTTATGGTTAGAGAAACTGAAGCTTGGAGAGGTCAAGTCACTTGCTCAGAGTCACCCAGCACATAAGTGATGAAGCCAGGATTCAGAGGCATTTGGGCTTCAGAGCCCTGCTCTTGTCCATCAAGGGCCCTGGCCTCCGTGTGGATGACTGATGCCTATGAGGGAAGGAAAAGAAGAGGAGAGGCTGGGGAAACTAAGGGAGGTTGGAAGGCACTAGACTGGGGACTCAGATATGGCCTAAGCCCTGCCCTCAAGGAGCACACAGTTCTCTATCACTCTGGGTCCCCAGTGCCCATGGGCACAAGACCTGACACATAGTAGGCACTCTGGTCTAGATACTAGCCAAAGTAAGGACAAAGTGAAGAATGTCCCAGATCCCTCCCCATGTCCCAATGGCCCCAAACTGACCATCTGCACACACCCCACCATACCCATTCCCACCAAAGGGTCTCTTAGGAGGCACAGTCAGGGTACTTACCTACTGTGTGCTCATCCGCTCTGTGGTTATGCTTCTTGGGGTCTTTCCAAGGTGGAGTCTACAGGGGAGAGAAAAAGATAGGGAATTTTCCCAGAAAGTCAGAGCCTCCCTCAGATCCCATGCTAGTCTTCAGCTTCCTCTCACATCTCAGAAATGCAATTTTCTCAAAAGACCCAGACCCTTCCATCCTCTTCCCATTGTCTCCTCAAGGTCCCTTTCCCCCAGAAATGAAGGCCATGTCCTCATATCCACCAGCTGTAGCTGTCTTGTTTCTTTCCCTGGGCCCTATGGGTTATTCTTGCCTTTCCAAATATGCCTTCTAGTCACCTGGACCAAAAGGTCATGAGCAGAGGCCAAGGCTGTGATAGGGACCCCCAGGGCCATCTCAGCACAACCCTCCTGGGTCCCACAGCCCTCACCAAAAGCACTGATTCCAGGCTCCCCAGCAGGGACCCCAGGAACAGCAGAGCCCTCATGGCGTCTGTTAGTCTAGCTGCTTGTCCAGGAGTCCAGATCAATAGAATTGGTCAAAGGTCTTTGAAGTCCTGGGAATCAGATTGGTCCAGCTGCCCTTCTGGGCCTGGTGGGGCAGAGGCTATTTGTGGAAAGCCAAGCAGAGCAGCTTCCTTGCTAGGCCCTCAAGGACAGGGGAGTTGGGATTTGGTGACAGACTGACTCAGTGTGGGAAGAGGGACCTTATGTTTCAGGTTCTACTGGGAGGAAATTAAGGAGATCCAAGAGACGCTTCCTACTTAAAGAGATCTTAGAGTCCATGGCGAGGTATATTTGTTTTCTGTTGCTGCCTAAAATTAACTGCAAACTTCACAGCTTAAAACAATACCCACTGGGGTGCCTGGGTGGCTCTGTCAGTTGAGCATCCAGCTCTTGGTTTCGGCTCAGGTCATGATCTTATGGTTCTTGAGTTTGAGCTGCGTGTCGGGCTCTATGCTGATGGTGTGGAGCCTGCTTGGAATTCTCTCTTTCCCTCTCTGTCTATCCTTCCCTCCCACTCTCTCTCTCAAAACAAAAACTTTTAAAAAATACCCATTTATTCACAAATCTGTAGCTCAAAAGTTCAACACTGTGTGACTGGGTTTTCTGCTCAGAGTATCCCACAACTGTCATCAAGGCTGAGTTCTCTGAAAGGTCTGGAGGAAAATCCATTTCCAAGGTCATTCGGGCCATTGACAGAATTCAGTTCCTTGATTTGTAGGACTGAAGTCCCCGTTTTACTGCAGGCTGTCAGCCAGGGGCCAGCCTCAGCTCCTAGAAGCTGCTTGCATTTCTTGCCATGTGGCTCCCTCCATCTTCCAAACCAGCAACAGAGACTCTCCCCCACGTTGACTCTCTCTCACACTTTGAATCTCTTTTGCCAGGAAGAATCCCATTCCATTTAAGGACTTACCTGATTAGGTCAGGCCCACCAACAATAATCTCACTTTAAGGTCATTTGGTACCTTAACTACATTTGCAGAATTCTTCTATAGAACATCTAGATTAGTGGTGGATTGAATACCTAGGAGAAGGTGTGCATACACCATGGATCCTGGGAGCCATCTTAGAATTCTACCTACTACAGAAAGTGGGCCAAGAAAGTAGCTGATCCCATGAGAAAAATGCTAAACCAAGAGGTGCTAAAATGTGCAGTTGGGGTAAAAGTGTTGGGATGGGATGGCATTGTTTTTCCTGCCCTCAACCCATTCACCTTGATTCAGTAATGACAACCCTGCTTTTTCCTATGGGAACCACTCCTCCTTCATCCTCTCCATGAGTCTCTAGTGCTTCCAGTTCTACCTTCAGTTCTAGGGATGGGGCTGTGGCCTAGGTCTGGCCAATCAGAGCATGGTATCTCTAGACCATGGCCATTGGTTCAGGGATAAGCATATACACAAATTTGGCCAGTCAGCCTTGGCCAAAGACAAAAAGTTTTGCCAGAACTTTTGGGAAAAAGGACACTTTCTTCCCACTGATGTCACCAGGAATGCAAGCCTGGAGATGTTGTTGATTTTGTCACTGCTTGGGGAGACACTGCCTGAGAAGGAAGCCTACACATAGGAAAAGTAGAACACACAGGGATGGAAGGATGGAGGGATGCTGTGAGTGTCAGCCTCCAAGATGTTCCCTATTGATCCTCATCTACTGGATTTCGTGCCTTAGTATAGTCTCTTTCCACACTGAGTCAGAGTCAGAGCTGTTCTTTGTGTCCAATAGAATATGGCAGAAGTGATGGTTCTGCCTAGCAAAGGTCATAAAAAGGATTGCTCACTCTGGGGGAAGCCAGCTTGCCATGTCGTGAGGACAATGAAGCAGCCCTACAGAGAGGTCCATGTGGGGAAAAAGTAGTCTCCTGCCGACAACCAACACCAGTTTGAATGAGCCACTTTAGCCTGGGGGGCTCAGTCAGCTAAGTGTCCGACTTTCGCTCAGGTCATGATCTAAGGGTTTGTGAGTTAGAGCTCTGCCTTGGGCTCTGTACTTACAGTTCGGAGCCTGGAGCCTGCTTTGGTTTCTGTGTCTCCCTCTTTCTCTCTGCCCCTCCCCTGCTCATGCTCATGCTCATGCTCATGCTCACGCTCTGTCTCTCAAATGAGTAAACATAAAAAAAATTTTTTTGAATGGGCCGCTTTGGAAGTGGATACTCCAGCCCCAAACAACATCTGACCTGTGACCCACAGAAGGCCTCAAGCTAAAATTGTACAGCTAAGCTGCTCCTGAAATTTGTTTAAGGTATAAGTGATTCTTGAACCTCAGGGACAGTGAGAAATAATAATTGATTGTTTTGTTTTTTAAGGTTATTTGTTTATTTTTGGGAGACAGAGAGCACTAGCAGCGGAGGGGCAAAGAGAGAGAGAGAGAGAGAGAGAGAGAGAATGATAATCCCAAACAGGCTCCATGCCACCAGCATGGAGACCAAAGCAGGACTCGAACCCACAAACCATGAGATCATAACCTGAGCCAAAACTGAGAGTTAGACCCGTAAGGACAGAGCAACTCAGGTGCCCTGATTGTTGTCTTAAGCCATAAGTTTTAGGGTAATTTGTTACCCAGCATTTGATAATTAATACAGATGGACTGATGACTAATAACTTACCCCAACCCTCAGCTGAGGTTGGAATCAGCATGTGACCCATACCTGGCCAATCAGAATACTGCCACTCTCTCTCCTTCGTGATTGGTTCAAAGGAACACTTGACCACAATCAAACTAGTCAGAGGCAGCCCCAGGATTTTTGCTGGAATCTTCAAGACAGAGGCTTTCTCTTTCCATAGAAGTTGCCTCAATGGTAAGCAGTGAGCATGGAGCTGCTGGCAGCCATCTTTAACACCTCAGAGAGAAAACCTGTCTGAGAATAAAGATTAAAAACAGAGTCAGAATATGGGAAAGACAAATTTTGAGTGACACCATTAGAGACCTGGGATCCAAAGATAAAGTCAGAACTACCACCTCTGCTTTTAAGTTACTTGAACCAATAAATTCCCTTATTTTGCCTAAGCTACTTTGAGTTGCAGCCAGAAGTCCTAACTGATGCAAGAATTCATATACTGTTACCAGGAAGTTCCTAAAACAAAACAAAACAATATCCCTCATGATCACTCTGTAAGTCAATAGCTTGAAGTAGGAAAGTAATGACCTTAGAAGCAGGGACTGGAAGAACAAAACAGCAGTGAACTTGAATCAGGAAACCTTCAATTCCATTGTGGCCACTGACTCCCTCAGTGTGACCTTTGGTCAGGGGCTCAGCCTCTATGAACCTTAATTGCCACACCTCTTTAGGGAGTAGAAGACACTCATACTGTCTGGCCAACTTGTTAAGATAGCTGAATAGGAATGCATTTGAAAGGGTAGAGCCTGGCATATGATTAGGGCTCAATCTGCAGAAATTTGTAAAGAAACTTTTCCATATGGACACACCCCTACTTCTCAGCAATTTCTACACACCTGCCCTAGTTCTCCTTGCACACCTGGGTGTCTTCCATCAATTTTGGACTAGGGGGTTAGAAAGCACCATCTTCTTTCCCTGGCTTCTTTCTACCGCTGGGGTGTGGGTCTATGGAATGAGAACTAGGAAGCCATCAATTTCCTGCTCACAAATATCTGGACACACACACACACACACACACACACACACACACTTCTCTCTAGCAGAGACTTGCGCATAAATTTCAAGAGGTGAAAGAAGTGCCTACTCAAAGACAAGTTTAGGGGTTCAGAAAGTACCTAGGCCACCATCCTTCATTCCTTCTGAGTTGGTGGTACCATTTTTCTCCTAGTTATTCAAGTTGTCACCATAGAATCTTTGTGCAAATGGAAGCCACTCCTTCCTCCAGACAAGTGCTATCTGGCAGAACTTTCTGTGATGATGGAAATAGTCTCTGTGCTGTCCAATATAGTAGCCAGCAGTCACGCATGGCTATTGGATCTCCTTGAATGTCACAGCCTGAGACCAATCCCCCTCACTCTTTAGTATTTTGTCTTAATGCCTTTTTAAAAAAAAATAAGTTTTATTTGCTTATTTTGAGAGACAGAGCAAGTAGGGGAGGGGCAGAATCCCATACAGGCTCTGCACTGTCAGCATGAAGCCTGATGTGAGCCTCAAACCCATGAACCGTGAGATCAGGACCTGAACTGAAACCAAGAGCTGGACGCTTAACAGACTGAGCCACCTGGGCACCCCTGTCTTAATAGTCACTTATTACTCTCTGAGACCATCCTATGTATTTGATTACTTAGAGGATTAACCTTTACTCCCACCCCCCCACCCCCCCCTCCAGCATGTAGGCAGGCAGCTTGGATATCTTGCTAACACCACTGTATTCCCCAGCACCTGGCTCAATGCCTAGCACAAAACGGGTGCTCTGTATTTTTGGATGAATGAATGGATAGGGATCAGAGAAGCTTAGTTGAACTTGGCTCAGCCTAACTCTTACCACTCTCAGTTTGAGCAAGGCTCCGTTTTCTGGTGGGTAAAGTGGGAGTGGAGAGAGTGGGATATCAGCCTTGTTTTCTTCCTGGCGTTTGGCGTAGATCCAGCCACTGGACTTCTGGCACTTCTGTTCCCCACCTGTATAATGGGTGTGAGTTCATCCAAACGTCTCGGGGTGGTAGCGCTGCCTTATAAGGCAGCAGAGGCCGAGGGCGGGCGAGGCCGTGTGGGTGGAGAGAAATCACAACATCCGGCTGCGGGGGCGGGGTGGGGGCCAGAGGCTGGAGAGCCGCTGGGAGGCCGCCAGTCTCTTCTGGACCTCTCCGTGCCTGCGATGTGCACTCTCCAGAATGGGCCAACCCAGAGAAATACGGCTGGACACATGGCCCAAAACAGCTCGCAGACAGCCCGCAGGAGGCCCAAGAAAGCAAATGCATCCCCTACAAACCCTAGAAAAGCCAAGGCTAGTCAGAGGGACCTGGGCCACACCTCTTTTTGGTGGTCCAGTCAGGGCACAGTGCTGAGAGTGACTGACGCTTCTTTTATCCAATCAAACTCCCAGATTCCAGGGCGTTACCAAGAGGACCCACCTCTGTCATCTCCGCGGAGGGCTCGGCCCTAATTGGCAGTTCGCTATCCTACGAAGGCCCAGAAATTCGAACCTAGGGGCTGAGCCCCACCTTGGACCAACCAGGAAGAGGTGACGTTTAAAGTCCCGCCTCCCTACTTCTTTGAGCGAATCCCGGGCTCGGAAGGAGGGGGATGATGAAGAGGCTGTCTAATGGGAAGACGGCGCGGGGAGCACCCGCCCGATTATTGGCCTCGTAAAGTAAACAGAGGGCGGGGCTGGGCGGGCCGGCGCCCGGGTGGCCCCCGGGAGGGGGCGGAGTGTTCGCGGCGGGCGGCGGCGGCCGGGGAGGCCCGGGAGGCCGCGGCGCGGTCACTGCGAGCCGAGCCGAGCCGCGCCGCGCCGATCGCCATCCGGCCCCGGCTCCCGCGAGCGACCCCGGCCGGCGGCTCGGCCCGGCGGGCCCGGCGGCGCCGCAGCCCATGGAGCTCGAGAACATCGTAGCGAACACGGTGCTACTCAAGGCCCGGGAAGGTGAGGCGGCCGAGAGGGCGACCGGGTGCGGGGAACGCGAGCGCGCGGCCTCTGAGCTCGGCTGGGCGCCCCAGTCTCCAGATCCCCTAGGACAGCGCGCTTCGCGCCCGGCACTCCGCGTATAGGCGAGCCCTTCCGGCCGGTAGTCCTCTGCACCTGCCCCGGGGTGCCTGGACCCAGGAAGGGGCGGGGGTCAGGCCACCGCCCTCGCGGCGGGGGGGTGAGGGGGGTGAGGGAAAGAGAGAGGAAGGAAGAGGGAAGGGTGGGACCTGGGTCCTTGGAGAGCCTCTCTGAGGCCTCCTCCAGGTGATAGGTGAGAAGATGCCCCAAGAAAGGATAGCCTACCCCACGTGCCTCAGGCCCAGACCCTGGCGCCCAGCCTGGACCCGCACATAGTTGGTGTAGGATAAAGGTCTGAAGAATGAATGAACCGAGCCACTGCAATAGCACAGCTTACCCGGTTTGGGGAAACGGCTGGTCACACATGCTACCAACATGATTGCCACTTGCTCGGTGCCTCAGAACACTGGGGACAGAGGTGAATGGGTCATGATTTTTGCCCTCAGGAAGCCCACGGTGTAGAGGGCCAAACGGGCACAGAAATAAGTGGGAGCTGAGCTTTGAAGAAAGAGAGCATGTGGGGCTGGCAGGACTATAAGTGCAAGGCCTGGCAGAGGGAGCAAGTCTGGTGAGTGTGTACTGAGCTACTCATGGCTCCCACCCCAAGTAAAACTAGGCACCTGGCCTCTGAGGGTTGTGGGGGACACAGAGGACCAGACCTGGTCCTCACTGCCTTGTGGTCAGTCTGGCCCTCACCTGTCATTATCCACCCCAGTAACATAATCATGGAACACTCTTTCTATTATGTGCCCTGTCCTGTCTTGGGTGCTGGGGACCAGCAGTGAACAAGACCCTTCTTTTTGGAACTCTAGGGCAGGGAGGTCATGACACGGTCATCTTCCACTCTTTGCTGGGCTTCCAGGCTGTAAGAGTCATCTGTTTCACTTTTCTGCTCCGTTTTACAGGTGGGAAACTGAGGTTCAGACCAGGGATTAGCTCCCAAGTCTTACGGTGAGATTGTGGTTGACCCAGGCCTAGACACAGGATGCCCCCAAAACAATCTGTAGGAAGCCCAGAAGAGCCCCCAGATGGCACAGCATCTGGTACCCCCTGCCTGCCCAGTGTGTGTTGCTCCCTGGGAGATGCTGCCTGGAAATAGGCATGGCAGGCTGGGTCCTTAGTGCCCAGAGCCTTTTTTATCTCCTGTCCTTTATCGAGTCTCGGGGCTAGGCCTTCCTCCTAGCCTCTGGGGGCATCTGCCGATTCTGTTCTGCCTCGTCATCTAGCCAGCTAGGGAGGAGGGGTGGGGAGAGGCTGGCCAGGCCTCCCTCTCTAGGGCTATAGCCACTTCAGGCCTCAGGCCTGCTGAGAGCACTGCTTTGCCTGCTAGAGAGTGTGGTACTTCCTGACAAGCTTCTTCAGGCCATGGGTGAGGTGTAGTGTGGTATGGCCAGACACGGACTGATACCTCCACTGGAGAACACTTACCCCAACCTGGTTCTGCTCCTCCCACCTGCGTGCTCTAGACAAGTCTCTTCTCTCTAAACTTTAGTAACCCTTTTTGTGGAATAGTTGGAGACAGGACCTACAAACTTAAAGAAATCCCTGTTGTCATGGAGTCCTAAACCCTGGCCCATAGACTGGCTGCACTGGAATCCCTTCATTAGCTGGCGGACAGCTTGGGGCCCGGCCTTCGCCAGTTTCCCAAGAGAGGCCCTAAGTAGTTTGGGAACCCTTGGTGTATGTATTCAGTTGACCCCTAAATCTAGATGATTGGCATGGCATGTTTGGGGTGGGAAAGGAGTGTGGGTTGTAGTCCTAGGGAGCTGGGTTTGAATCCTGCCTCTGGCACCTCCAGGCTTTGTGATCTTGGACAAATGGATTCCTTGTTTCAGGGCCTCAGTTTTCTCATGAGGGTATGCCTAGTCTGGCAGAATTGCTGTGAAGATCAAGTGGGGTAGCATTGGGGGTGTGAGCCCTTGTTAGTCCTTCATCCTTTCCTAGGCCCGCAGAGGCATAGGGAGGGGGCCAGGCTAGATTGGGGAGGAGCCCCACTGACCCTGGTGGCAGTTCCAGGACAGGATATTTGCATGTGACTCTTGCTGCTGCCTTGATGTGGCTGGGAGGAGGGGGAGGAGGAAGTAACTGGTGGGGGGAGGCCAGCGGATGGAGGGTTGGGTGAGGGACCTGTGGGGGTGGGGGAGGAGTTCCCCTTCTGCGAGGCCTTGCCCCGGGTTGGGGGTGGGGGTCTGTTGCTCATTCAGAGTGGAGCAATGGCTGTGGAGTATGCTGGGTGCAGGCCGCAGGAGAGCTGCTAGCAGGTTTCCCAATGGGTGCCCTGCAACATTTCCTCCTCCAGGCTGCTTCGGTCACAGAACCCATTGAGGGACCTAACTCTTCCCTAGAGCAGCCCCTTCCATTATGTCACCTGCCTTCAGCCAGGCCAGATGAAAACAAGGCTGAGTAAAGCAAAGGGGAAACTGAGGCCAGGCAAGGGAAAAGTGGCTGCCTGAGGTTGCCATGAGTTGTTGGAGCTGAGGGTCACCTCTTGCCACAGCCCTACTGGGTACTGGACACAGACTCTTGCAGTCTGATAATACTTCCAGAGGTGGCTTTGGATCTGAAGTATGTATGGAGAAGTTGAGGCTCATAGAGGGCAAGTGACAGGCCTAAAGTGCGAATTGGAGATTCAAACCTATGTCTATGGGGCTCCAAGACTCAGGCCCTTCTATTTTCAACCTTGTGGCCCATGGGCCACATCTGGCTAGCTCTCTAACATGTTTAACCTAATTAGCTGCAATGGGTTTTTACAAAAAATGAGAACCAGTATTTCACATGACAGTCCAGAGTCCCAGCTAAAAAGTCAGAAGAGCTGGCCATGCTGAATCCGTATTCCTGCCTGGAGGAAGGGGCATGCCCGCTCCAGTTCACCACCCTCTCCACCATTCCCTGTTGTCTCCCATCTGACCCACATTTACCCTATCTGGCTCTGTAGGCATTTGAGCTGCTACCCTGATCTCAGCAGCTACAGATAGGAGGTCAGCTAGATAAAATGAGACCAGTATCAGGGCCATAGAACCCTTTGAGTGGGCATTCTGAGCATCCAGCCACCACCTTGTTTGAGTCTCCGATAGCTCGAATTCAGGGCCAGGTAATAGGGGCCTGAAGCCTTCCTGGTGACCCAGGCTGCTCTCTGTCCTTGGCATCTCTCAGGCATGTCCCATGTGTCCTGGAATCTCTCCCTTCTGTGCTTTGACTTACATAGTTCCCACCACTGTCATGTCCTCTACTTTCTTCACCTGGGAAACTCCTACCTGCCAGGAAGCAGCTAAGGTTTCCTGGAAACCCACCCTCACCTGGTGACCTGTCCTTATCACCCCGCTTGGATCTTCCAGCCCAGGAGCCCAGGAACTCCTATCAGAAGGGCCCAGGGAACCGTGTGTGTCCTAGAGCCCAGGGAGGGCATGCTGAAACATGTGGGATGAAGGCCTGAAGTGCCTCCTAGAGCGTGCTGTGCCTGGGCTGAGCCCAGAAGGCCAGGCCTCTGGGCTGCACTGAGTGGCCAGGGGAAGCATGGTGGCAGCGGGACTTGAGATCCAGCACCTGTTTGCTCCCACAGGTGGTGGTGGGAATCGCAAGGGCAAAAGCAAGAAATGGCGACAGATGCTGCAGTTCCCCCACATCAGCCAGTGTGAAGAGCTGCGGCTCAGCCTCGGTGAGGCCTGGGTGGAGACCTGGGTGTTCTGGGGGAGCGTCTCCTGAGACCTTACCCGGGGGCAGAGGGGCAGGGTTGGGGGGTTCGGGGGAGCAGGAAGATTGAGGTGCACCACCCAACCCAGTTTCAGTTCCTGGGCTTGAGATGGGTGGAGAGCGTAGTACAAAACAGGATAGCAGGGGGTGTTTGGGGTAGGTGGGGGGAAGTAGGGCAGAGTCAAATTTGGCCAGTCGAAGAGCAGCAGAGGAAAGGAGAGTCATGCCTGGGGTTTGAGGGACAGAAGATACAGTGGAGGCTGGAGTCAGCCCACAGATTGACTGCATTAGGAGCCCCAAGCCCCAAGCCCGTGGGGGGCATCAAAACCTTGACCAGAAGAAGGGCCAGGATGCCAGTTCCTGCTTATCTTGGCTGAGGCCCCAGGTCTGTGCAGCCCCCAAGGTTGCCTAGGCCCCTCTGACAGCCTGCACGTGGGCAAGGAGTATACCATGGCTGCTTCCACCGCCTGGGAAGGAGGCTTAG